ATCTCAATGTCTTTAGGTTTTAAAAGAAAAAAACAACTTAGAAATATAGCTGATGAAGGAACGTACCACATGGCAATCACTTCCAAGAAATGCACCGATGACATTTGACTAGCGGAGCGTCAAGAGCGGTCATACCTGGTTCATATCTATGAATATTACATATTTAATGAAGGAAAAAATATTTTTTTGCACCTTGATTTTATAGGGATGGCAAAAATATACTCATTGATATTGATTGATTTTCACTGTCGAGAGAAGTTTTCTTGCAACTTATGTGACTCGTGGCCTTGGTGTCCCAAAAAGTACTGCTACAAACTCATTGTTTCCTATTTTCAAGATATTTTTTCCACTAATGAAACAGTTTAAATAACAAGAACCGATTTTCAGGCACGTAATAAAATTTCTGGTGTTTGCATCTATAACTTTTGTATATAATAGTATACTTGCTGTCCAAAACGGTTTAGCTCCTTCACAGAAACTTTGTAGTAGGGTGGAAAAAGCTTAGAAGTTTTATAAAAATAGTTTTTGAATGTTGCTTAATTAAGTGACTTGAGAGCACGATGGGCCTACTAATGAGTTAAATGCGATCTCTTAGGATCAAGCTTTCTTGCGACGCCCAATCTACCTTCTAACTAACCAAGTCCTAACTTTATACCCTGAACATCGTATACTAAGTTTGCCACGAAGTTTATAACACCCAGAAGAAAACGTCGGAGATCCTATAAAATATATATATAAATAATCAGCATGACGAGCTGAGTCAATTTAACCATGTCCGTCTATGTGTCCGTTTGTATATACGCGAACTAGTCCCTCAATTTTTGAGATATCGATCTGGAATTGTGTACACGTTCTTTTCTCCCCAAGAAGTTTTTCATTTGTCGGAACCGCCGATATCGGACCACTATAGCATATAGTTGCCATACAAACTAAACGATCGGAATTAATGAGCTTTTATAGAAAAACTTTTCATTTGACGACGTATCTTCACAACAACGGTGCTATTTCCGAAGAAATTATTCAGATCGAGCCACTTTAGCATATAGCTGCCATACAAACTGACCAATAAAACACATGTGCTTGTTAGGAATATTTTGTATTTGTGAAGGGTACTACAGCTTCGGTGCAACCGAAGCTAACGTTTTTCCTTATGTTACCAGACCAAGTCTCAAACTTTCTGAAAAGTTTAGTGAAGAATAATTGAATTATTAAATTTCTTCTAGATTCAAATTTTAGATTCTCAAATTATATTAAAATTTTGCTTATCGATTGTTGGAAATAATCCCATTTTGGGTACATCTATAAGAAACACTGACCCAATACTCCAATTAAGTATTTGGACACTAAATTGTATTTATGTCTCTATATGAGTTTACGAATCTAACTAAATGTGTTAAAATCAAATTGAATCACTAAAGTTCTAGACCAAAAAAATTTTCAAAAATCAAATCGAGTTTAGTGAAATTCTACTTTCCACTCTTTACATTTTAATTAATTAAGTTTACCAGGTTTTAAATTATTTTGGGTTTACAATCGTGCTGTAGCTCTACTCCCTGTTGCAGCTTCTTCTTCTCCTCACACGACATTTTGATAATTGAATCTGCTCTTAGACTCTACTAACACCAGCGTGCCACCAAGTGGCCGAGTAGACAACTTATTCTGACTACTATGTACTTCTGCTCCTACATTCTCATTTCTTCCCTTGCCTCTAACCATTTGGCATTTTCTAACAGGCACTTCCTTAGGGAGCCTAAAATGTCACCAACATGCCACAGAACTTCAATTTATTTCATTTTTTACTTCCTTTACTCCTTTCCGCTTTTTATTTATTTATTTATATGCATTTGAATTAAGCCACAAATATATACGTTTAGTTGCAACTGTGGCCTGTGGCGCTGCTGCAAATGGCATCAATACGAATGAGTTATCCTAATGTGTGCCAACCGGCAGCGGCAGTCAACCAACCATAGTGCCCCACCACGAACAAGCACACTGCTGCACTCGTGAAAGCACAATTCAGCTAGTGAAAGCTCGCAGACATTTTACATATCTTGCCGAGTTCTGCGCAAATATTTTTGCTCGCCTCTTATTGCACTACTTTATCACTATTTCCAGCTGCCTAACTGTGGAGTTTCATGCCTTTTTATTCTACCCACTTTTTTTTATTCATAACGATGATGATTTCGAATGGGCGTGTTGTTGTTATTGCTGTTGTTGTGAAAATGGCGTAAATCATTATGCAATCGCTAGATAGATTGCACATTTTACAGTGTTAAGAGGAGCGTTTAAGGACCTGTCTAGCTGTACTCATGTACAAATATATGTATATAGCACAGTTAGTTTGCATCTACATTTAGTTTACGTTAACTGAGATCTTTGCTGGTTCTAAAGTTTGCCTATGGCGACAGCACTTTCACCTGTTTGTGTGCCCCTTTTAATTTGTCAATGATTGCAATTTAATTTAATTCAATGAAATCTCGTAATTGACGCCGTTTACGCAGGAGAATATGACTTCTTTATCCTGCTATTTTTTATGATGCTTAAATTTAATTAAAATGTGTCTAGCAAAAGGAGCGAAAGCGCATTCACAGCAATTGAAAGTCCCTGAGGCAAATGGTAGCCACAGCAGAAAAATGGTTTTTATTCAGGCGAATAATTTTGAGGGGTGTTAAATGCAATTTGGTTCCTTTTTAAGGTAGTACGTGGAGTTTTGTCATAAAAAATTAATTTTTATTTTCCACTCGCCCTTTTTTTCGCTCTTAACAGAGTTGCCTAATATAATATGAAATATAGAATTTTTTACAATATGTTTTTCTTAGTATTCCTGGTGGTGTTCAGCAAAGTGTACATTTTTGACACATGTTAATAACGAAATGGTTACATGATTATATATTTTCATCATGGAAAGATATACGCAAGAACAACGTTTACAAATTATTCAATTTTATTATAAAAATAATCGTTCTGCGATTGCAACTTTTCGTGCGCTTTTGCCAATTTATGGTCTGATGGTTTCATCTGTGTGGTGCGGTATATAAACAAAACTGTCGATTTTGGTGCGAAGAAAATCGATAAATTACTCATGAACAACCACTACATTTACCTAAATCGACAGCTTGGTGTGGTTTTTGGTCTGGTGGAATCATCGGTCCGTACTTTTTTCGAAAACAAGCTGGTGACACCGTTTCTGTCAATGGGGAGCGTTATAGATGGATAATAACCAAGTTTTTATGGCTCCAATTGGTAGAATTTGATTTTGATAACATCTGGTTCCAACAAGACGGGACTACGTGCCACACAGCACGGGCAACAACCGGATTATTGCAAGAAAAGTTTGGAGATTCGATAATTTCAAGAAATTGCGACATTGAATTTCCTTCAGGAAGTTGTGATTTAACACCATTCTTGTTAGGTTATTTTAAGTCATTGGTCTATAGCAAGCAACCAGACTCTCTTCAAGTTTTAGGGGTCAATATTAAACGTGCTATTCGTAACATACGACTTGATTTAGTGGAAACAGTATTCGAAAAAAACATTCTGATTGAAAAACCCTTTAATCACTGAATCAAAAGTGAAATGATTTTTAAAAATTTTCGAAAAATTACTCAATCATCACACCACATGTTATTCTATCAATAAGCGATTTTATCGGCAAAAACGCCTTTCTAAGGCTGATTCCATTAACAATTAGAAAGTGTGATCAAAAGTTGCGAAGCTCAGCAAACTTTGCCAATACCTGACTTTGAATAAAAGCACTTCTCTTCGATGCGGCACACATAGTAAACATAAGGGTGAATGTGAAATTTCGAAAAAATTGTTTTTTTTTTGTTTTTGCATATTTCGAATTTCAAAAAATAGCATACTAAAATTATAATTGAATATTTCAAATATTTTTTGAATAACAGTCTAACCTATGTTTCTCCGTACCTTTAAGATTTTCGACATTATGAAAATTGTTATTTGTGTACTAAAAGTCACCTAATAATTGAAGAAATACGAAACTTTATCAAAGTCTGCCATTTTGTTAATTTTTTTTTTTTTTCTTTTAATAATCGAAAGTTCAAATCCCAATAGGTTAATACCACCAACCAACCACTGCAGCGGTTTAGGACCTTTTTTTTAATAATTGGGAAAAACTCTAGTGATAAACTTTTATCTTTTGTTGTTAATTCTATCACATATGATTTATAAAAGATCATTTTAATATAAACTTAGCATTTTTTAGCATTTTCTCATAAGCTAGCAGCAAAATAATACTCGCTAAAGTAAAAAAATTGCGCATAAAGCAAAAACTCGATTATTTATTTCAGAGTTTAACGAGATTTGGTAAATCATACGAGATACCGTTTTAAATTAAAGAAAAGGACTTTCAAAAAATATTAGGTAAGTTTTGGAATTTTTTTTTTAATTGAACAAAACAAATTTTAAATAACTTTTTTTTAATAATTCAGATTTATTAATATACTATATATACAAATGAAAGACAACTTAGATTAACATCTATAGATGTTAACAAATTTTCTAATGAGCTTCAGGTCAGTTTTGTTTGAGTTGAATGTTTTTTTTCCACACTCTTACCAGAACCAGGTTTCTTGTTGTTCTGTATAACATAAATAAAATTATTATTTTATCTTCAAGAATATTTGTATGCATATGTTTCTTCAAGGAGGCGTCTTCTTGCAACTTAGTTAAATAAGTCACTCAAAAATTTTCTAGGAAATGACTTTTTCCCCGACAGCGTTTAATTAAATAATTAATTATATAGATTAACATTAAAGAGAGTTTAGGTATATTTGTTCGAACTTGTAGTTTAAGTTAATGAAAATGAAGAAAGCATTTTTTAAAGATACAGTTTTTTTTATTTTTTGTCATTCTCTTTGCTCTCCGTTTTTTAATGAAAAAATTAAAATTATAAAATTAATTTGTTAATTTTTTGGCAATATAATACATAACCTTACTGTAATAAGTATTATATATAAATTTAGTAAATTTTTACTTACATTGATTGTGAAAAAATACAAAAGTTGCAGTCTTTGTATTATTTTATCGAGCCTTTAGCAGATAGTGGTGTCCCCAGAAGATGTAAATGGCAGCACAACAATTTTTTTTTCTTAATTTTTGGTTTTATACACCCCCGCGCGCTGTCAAACACCTAACCGTACACATATGAAAAAAGCAAAGCTAATGCACTGCACAATTCCTCTGATACCGACAATTGAAAAAGGTATTTTTATTATCTTCGTTTTTGTTTTTATTATTATGTTCTTCCTTGCTTATCCGGCCACAGCAGCCACGACACGACAGATGCTAAACACAACGTTCGCTGTCTGTGCGATATGAAGTTGCTTACTTCTGATTTTATCAGACACGTTGCACGTCGAGTCTTATTTCCGTTTATGTATTTTTGTTTTTGCAATTTTGATTTTGTTGCCCTTTGTTTTTGTATGGCAACCCACCGCGGCGCGCAACACGCTACCAAATTATCCTTTTGCTTTGATCCTTCGTCGTAGTCGTTGGCAGCTTGTGTGTTTGTTGTTGTGTGGGTGTTATGCTATTTTTGGGGGAGGTTTAGTGTTGTCTAGCGTTGGTGTTCTAATAATTTGGCTCGTTTGTTTCGACGTATTTTTTTTACACTCTTTTACTTTGATCTATTTTACATCGTTTTTTGGAATTTAGAACTTTCGTTTTTTAATGCTCTTTTATTGCACTTTTATTTCTTTGGAAATTTTTTTCGAGGATTCACTTTTACAAAAAAAATATATTTTTTAAAGAATACTAATGCACTTAATTTTAGTTGGAATTTTGATTGATTTTTGAATTACTTGTAGCCAAAATTTTTTTAAGGATGCGCAAATATTCAAGCGTATTAACACATACAACACTACACTGACAGATTAAGCATCGCTTTCGCTACTACTTAACCTTTGTCTCTCTGCTGGCTTTAGTGTATGTGCTCTTAAATTCTTATATCCTCTTCACTTATCCTTTTCCTATGTACTAGCGTGTTTATACATATATGTTAAGTGTATGTGTGTGCCGGTTTATTACCAGACTTTATAGTCTTTTAGGCGCATAAACTTAACGCAACAATTGCTCACGTAAACTTTGTTTGCTGAAATTTGCCAATAATTTGATTTTTTTTTACAGTTAAAAACACAAAAAAAAATTTGTTTTTTATATACCACGAAATTTTTTCTCAAATTTTTTAAACCACAAAAGAATCAGTAATTTCACAATCTTTTATTTATTTTTATTTTTGCATACGAAAATCACCGGCTTTTACCAGTTACCACCGTCACCCTTTTCGGTTGTTCTCCCTAAATTCTTATGCAGCTTTCTTCAAGCTTCACTGCCTATCTGATTATCTACCGACCTGCCGTCTGTCTAGCCGGTTGTCACTGTACTTCATCACACATTGACTCTGCGATTCTATGCCAATGGCTATTTACTCATCAAAAAAAATGTACCAATTCCGTTGAAATATTCTAAACGCAGCCAATTGCTCTTCCGTCCATCGTTCACAACAATTCGTTTCAGACTGAAAACAACTTTAGCCAACAAACAAACAATCAACCCACCGTAGTCTGACTGGACTGAGGATGCCACTGCTATTGCATGGCTATGGCAGTGAGTGATTAAAGCGCCGACGCAATAGCGGTGCCGTGCCATACGTAACGCAACAGTGCTTACGTGCGACGTTAATAAACCCTCCTCTTCCGTAGTAAAGCAATTTCAGCATATTTTGCTCTAGCTCATTCACATACTGACTGTGCTAGTGGCAGAGTTGCCAAAGTGTAAAAAATTAATTGTACAATTAATTTGTAAAAGCTGGATTCTGTTACAGTTAATATTTAAACTAGTGTGGGTTCAAGATATTCAATCAAGTCACCATAAAATAAAAATGTGGTATTTATTAGCTAAACCAACAGAGCAGAGTACTCAAAAGCGATCTGTTGGGGAAAAACACTTTTATTCGGATTATATAAATAAAATATAATACAATACAATCAAATAAATAAAATGTGCTCCAAATAAATGTACGTAAATAAATCTCTTTAATTTTTCTCTGTTCTGTAACGCATATTATAAAATGGAAATTACGATATTGTAAGTTCCGCTGCAATATAATAAATTTTATAATCTTATGTATTTTTGCAAAAAATCTTACGGATTATGGACATTTACTAAAAATATAAATAGAATTTTTTCAGCGAAAAAATATGTGAGTAAAATTTACTTCCATAACATACATACATACATAAGTTAATAATAACATATTATACAAATTTATTCATGTAAACATGTAGTAGAATTTTTTATAAAATGTCGGTCTTTGACAATAGAATAACGTCAGAGGCCCTACAAAATATAAATATAAGTGATCAGCGTGTCGAACTGAGTCGATTTAGACATCCGTCTATTTGTATATATTGTACGTGAACTAGACACTTACTTTTGCGATATCGATCTGAAATTTTGTAAACGTCATTTTCTTTCCAAGTAGCTGCTAATATGTCGGAAGCGCCGATATCGGACCCCTATACCATATATCTGCCATACAAACTTAACGATCAAAGCTAAGTTTTTATGTGGAAAACTTTTTAATTTGGTAAGATATCTTCTCGAAATTTGGCATGGATTATTGTCCAAGACAACGTTGCAATCTCCGAACGAATGCTATATTGGCATCCCTGTCCCATACTCAATAAATGTTTGTTGCTCTTTACATTGGACTCTTTGTAGCTGTGAGAGCGCATAATATAAACGTATGAATGCAATTGTGCTATTGTTTACTACATACCTACAAATATATAACAACAAAAGTGTTCGGCAGAAGCCGGCAAACCATAACAAAGCATCCGATCCCTTGTATGAACCGAAATACGATAAAACCAGTTTGAGGTGTTGATATATATGCGTGTGTAGCAGGTGTGTGCATAAACATTGGATACGATATATATTACATTATATATGTATATATATATATATTAGTATATTCAAGTTATTTACGGCGAATTCACCCGCAAAGTATGCAACGAAATACAGTATCGTGGTGAAAATACTTTTTTGCTCTTGGAGAACGTTTATAAATATTTACCTAGATATGTATGTGTTTGGTGTGTAAATAGCTAAAGTTTATTATTAAATATCTAACATTATCTTTCAGATGTTGCTAATAGTTTTATATATTTTTGCGATTTTATAGAACTTTTTACCTAAAACTGTTAAATCTAACTCAGAATATTAAATACTAGCCGCCTTAGCTGAATAAATAGAGTTCGAAGCTACCAGTCCGAAGCCCACACCGTCAAGCCTGGGCGAGATAAAATCATAGTACAAGTTTTTCCTAATCTTTTTTAGGGGTAAAACTTGATTTACGAAACGAATGAGATTTGCTCAAAAGCGTCGTAATAGCTAAATAGGGGACCACATTTATAGTAAGAGAGGGCTGATGGATTATCTGATTTTCCAATTTATTGCCTGAAATAAAACAGAGAACGATAAATTAGCCGAAATAAGTGTAAAATATTGATATGCAAAAATCACGTCCTCAGACATCTTCAATACCAGAAACGAGCAGAGTGTAGACGTTATGATTGATAGTTTTGTTTGATAGATAGACTCAGAGAAGAGAGAGAGAGTCCCTGCTGACAAAAAAATGTGTATAGTCAATTTCAGTCAGTTAACAGTTTGACCTTTTGAGCATCTCATTGTAAATGATTTCTTACTAATCTCACCAAATACGTAGCAAAACCTCCATCACCATCAATTTTGGCTTGGCCACCATTTTTGTGGGCTTACTGCAAAAGTCGTAAGTGACCCACTTTTCATCACCAATAATAATCATCCGCCTCAGAAATGGATCGATTTTATTGGGACTCAGCAGTTCCAAATTATTTTTTGTGCAATATTTAACTCCGGGTACTCGAAATAGTGCTTCTATGCCGAGTCCGACGATATACATTTAATATCGATATTTTTGACTATTGACTATTTCGGAATCGACGAATCAGTACCATAAACACCATTCAGATTTTCAACCGCTTGGCTTGCGTTTTCGCCGTTTTCGAAAAAAAAACTGTAAAATATGTAATTATGAAATAGTTTTATTTTTGCTGGTGTTCATCTTTGACGTCTATTTCGAGCTAATCTCAGCCCACACTTTTATTCTGCCGAATCATTAGTCTTTGAAAATTGAGACGAAAATTGAGTGAAATCTCAAAAGTGTTATAGTCATAAAGCCAAGCTTAAACATAAAAAAAACTTACATGTCTCATATATAGCGCTATTATTCCATACCTCCACTCCACTTTCTGTTTTTTTATTTTTGTTTAATATTCAGCAGATTTGTATTTCATTTAAAGTAAGATTAGCTAGTATTTAGTATCAGATATACTCAAATATACCGTTGTATATATTTGCCTGTGTAATAGTGACACCCACAAATTTTCTAAGCAATACATTACGTGAAACTTCATATAAACCCTAACGAAGCATTACTAACCTAAACAAAGAGTGCGTACATAAGTGGCATACATAAGCATCGCATAGTAATACATGCTTATGAATATAGACAAAAGCATCGAAACAAATCTGCGAATGAAAAATAAAACACAACTTGAACAAATCCTCTCGTTGCTCGGTTTTAACAAGTGTATTCATGTTTAAAAGTCAATACTTTAGTTGTAACAAACAATCGCTATTTGTTTTGTATTTTACTTGAACAATAGAATATTTGTAAAACATGCAAGAATTTGCTGACTATTCGCTCGAAAAGTAGATCAAACATATAACATATGTAAATACTCCTAAATGAGAAAGTTGAATGACTTATTTTCGAAAGGAAAATTTAATACGCTATTTTGAAGTGAAAAAATAAAATTTATTAAATTGCAATTATTTATTTGGTGATTTTGATTTTAAATGGCTTTATTTCTCTGATTTTCTAATTCATTAATGTATTCGAAATATAATTAACCAAAAGTAGGACGATTGAATTTGTTCACCCAGTCAGTATAAAAACTACTCAAACAATTCTCATACAAGTTTGAACGAAAAATCTACTTATTTTTTGACCGATTCAAAAAGCCTAGTTGTATAACTTTCTTTCATCGAGCCTGTATTTATAATTTCAAAAAGTCCGATAACTTGTTCGGTGCCATTTTCAATCATTGGTTACTCGAAAAAGTGTCATTGGCTGGCCACTTCGTAGCCCAGTCGCATTCGAATATGAATATTTTCTCTATGTGGATGTTTGTACTTTAAAAGTTAAATTTTATAATAATAAAGACACTTATAACAAAAGATCTGATCGTGACGGTAAATTTTCTGCTTCAAGTCGCGGTAAAACTATCAAAATAATCTGGGTTCATATAAATCGTCTATTTTTCAAAAGCTAGTGGTCCAATATTTTAATTTGGTGAATTACTGTGGCATAAAGACTATAATACCTTTTATCGAAAACTGACAGAGAGTTTGAATGGAAAATATTCCCAATTTTTCAAAATTTCTTTTGAGCCTCGAAGTATTGTATAATATTTATACTCTTGCAACATGTTGCTACAGAGTATAATATTTTTATTCACCTTAAGCTTATCGAGATAGATATAGGGTTATGTATATATAAATGAACAGGATAACGAGACGTTGAAATCCGTATGTCTCTCTGTCCGCCCTCTTCCGTATAACGGTTGTGTTAAAAACTACTAAAAGTTCGATAAAACAGTAATTAAATACGCCAGTGACATAAAATTTTGCGCTCGAGATGGTATGAGAGGACTTTATAGGAGCCGGTGTCAAATTTGGATGACGAGCGTGGCACTGCCCATATTTAGGTGAAAACCCATGTCTCGGAACATACCCGAAAGATTTCAATCAAGTTCGGTAGGTAATATTATTCTGATATATCTATATTAAAGTGCGAATGGGCGAAATCAGACAAAAACCACGCCTACTTTTAACACAATTTAAACTCCGTCTGATTCTTTCTCTTTCCATTATACAAATTAAGAACCAATCAATGGATTCAGACCAAAAATTGCCCAGATCGGAGCAAAACTGTTCAAGCCCCCAGATACAGAATATGTGTACCCCAGTTCTTATTGCGAACTTTTTATTGAAAATATCGGTCAGTCTGTGACATATATTTTACAAATTCGAAAATAATCCTCTTCTGATAATAGTATGTCTGTACGTAAAAATCGAATCAATAATTCTCTTAGCCCCCTTATACCTAATAGAAAGATTTTCGAACTTCCGGGTGTCTTGAAAGAGAAATGGGGGAATTGGGTTACTCCAGAGCTTAGCCCTTTCTTACTTGTTTTTGTTTTCTTTTTTTATTTTTGTTTTCAAGTTCGCTTACGAACTTTTACTTGTAAGCAAGAAATTTTTTTTCTTCTCATAAAAAGTTACAGAACAATCGGCTTGTCGTGGTGGGAATTTTTTGTCGATCACTACTCAGTATGTTTCCTGTCATTCAAGTGTCAGTTATCCTCAACTAAATTAAAAATCATCAACCAGACATAATTTAATTTAAATTTTAATTAATTTTTAAATTAGAGTTGGAAATGGGGAAATATATTTAAATTCATATTTATAAATTAATCAACACTTTGTAAAATGTTAGTATCATAGCAATTT